TTCTGCCACGAAGATGTTCATCTATTCAGATGTCGATCTCCCGCCTCCCAAGTTGTAGATCGGAGAACGCGTTTCACGGGCGACTGCCTTGAGAACATTCGGCGGCGCGTTTCGAACCAGGGGGTGGGCCCCACCCCCGACACTCGGCGCCGTCGCCCCCAACCCCCCCCATCCCGAACCCCCCCCAGTCCTCCCAGGGGGGGGGGTTGCAACCCCCCCCCCCCCTCGGGCCGGCGCCGGCGCCGGCGCTGGCGGCCGCCAGCAACGCCGACGGCGGGGACCCAGCGACGATGACGCCGAGGGGTGGGGGAGTCCTAACAACCCCCCCCCCCCGCGTCGGCGCCGCGCCGGCGCTGGCGGCGGCCAGCAGCGCCGACGGCGAGGACGCAGCGACGATTACCAGAGAGGGCCCAGAGGCCGCAGAGGAAACACACAAATCGCCATATCGAGCCCTCGCCCCCCAGAAGCCACCGAGATGCCCTTAGGAAGGTCCACGAGGCTTCACACATGCTCCTCAGACGCCCCCGAGACACTTCTGACGAGACCTCAAGAGGCATGCGTTAGAACTCTGACCTGAAGCCAAATCACGGTGGCGGGAAGAGCCGAAGGCCACACCACTACCACCACCACAACAAACCACCACACCACCACCACAACCACCACCACCACCACACTCACAACAACCCACCACCACAACCACCACCACAACCACCATCACCACCAAACCACTACACAACCACCACCAAAAACGCCACCACCACCACCAGCACCGCAGCAACCCGCCACAACCCACCACAACAACCACCACCACCACCATCACCAAAAACTGCCTCACCATTACCAGCACCATCACTACCACCGCCACCACCACAACCATCACCACAACCAACCACCACAACCACCACCACAAACCACCACACCAACACCACCAACACCACCACCACGACCACCACCACCACCCACCACCCACCACCCATCACCACCACCAGCTCCGCTACCAGCAGCACCACCACAACCACAAACCACCACGCCACCACCACCACCGCCGCACGACCACCACCACCAAACAACCACACAACCAATACCACCACAGCCACCACCACCACCATCACAACAAATCACCACCACCACAACCACCACAAAAACAACAACCCACCAACACCACCACCACCACAATCTACCACACCACCACGCCACCACCGCCACAACCACCACCACCACCACCACCACCACCACCGCCACAACGCCACCACAAACCACCACACCACCACCACCACCACCACCGCCACCCACCACCACCATCACCACCAGAACCACCTCCAAAAAAACACCACCACCACCACCGCCACCAACACCACCACCATCACCAAAAACTGCCTCACCATTACCAGCACCATCACCACCACCGCCACCACCACAACCATCACCACAACCAACCACCACAACCACCACCACAAACCACCACACCAACACCACCAACACCACCACCACGACCACCACCACCACCCACCACCCACCACCCATCACCACCACCAGCTCCGCTACCAGCAGCACCACCACAACCACAAACCACCACGCCACCACCACCACCGCCGCACGACCACCACCACCAAACAACCACACAACCAATACCACCACAGCCACCACCACCACCACCATCACAACAAATCACCACCACCACAACCACCACAAAAACAACAACCCACCAACACCACCACCACCACAATCTACCACACCACCACGCCACCACCGCCACAACCACCACCACCACCACCACCACCGCCACAACGCCACCACAAACCACCACACCACCACCACCACCACCACCGCCACCCACCACCACCATCACCACCAGAACCACCTCCAAAAAAACACCACCACCACCACCGCCATCAACACCACCACCAACCACCACACCACCACCACCACCACAAACCACACCACGACCACCACCACCACCATAATCTTCCACTACCACAACGTCCACCACCACAACAAACCACCACCACACCCACCAACCAACACCACAGCCACCACCACCACCACAACCCACCACCACCACTACCACCACCACAACCACCACGACAAACCACAACACCACAACCGCCACCACCACCACCTCAACCAACCACAACCACCAAAGCTCCCATCACCACCACCACCAGAAACCACCGCACCACCACCACCACCGCCACACGACCACCACCACCACAACCTGTCACCACAACCGCCACAACAACCTCCACCGCCACCACCACCAACCACCACACCACCACCACCACCACCGGCACCACCACCACCGCCACAACCACCACCACCACCAACAACACCACAGCCCACCACCACCACCACCTCCTCAAAGAGGCCCCAAGAGACGCCCAAGAGGCGCCCAGGAGGCTTCACAAATGCCCTTGAGAGGCCTCCGAGAGCCCCCTACTGAGACCCCAAGAGGCATCCATTAGGACTCTGACCCAAAACCAAGACGTCGTCGTCGTCGTCGTCGTCATCGTCGTCGACGTCGTCATCGTCGTCGCCGTCCTCGTCCTCGTCGTCGCTCCCGTCCGCCGCCGCCCGCCGCCGCAGGCGCCGGCGCCGGCCCAGAAAAGGAAGTCGTCGCCCCCGCCGCCGCCGCCAGCCGCCGCCGACGCAGGCGCTGGCCCGAGGGAAGGGAGAGAGGAAAAAAAGGGGAGGGGGGCTGGGGGGGTTTGAAACCCTCCCGCCCCACCGTCACGGGAGGGGGGGGGTCGAGGGCCCCCCCCTCCATCCAGGGGGGGGTGTCCAGTTCCAACCCCCCTCCCCCTCCAAGCGACCACACAAAGTGCTCTTTCGTACATCTAGATGTCCACGCCTCGACTCCAAACATGTATGTCCAATGTCGATGTAGATGTCACCCCCCGGCCTCAAAAAATGTAGATCCTAGTTCAAAACGGTGCACATATATACATAAGGAAAGAGCCAGCCCATCCATCCACAGAGTTCACGTGTTCCGTCTGCTTTTCCCAAATGGGTTCAATAGGACGCTCCATGCACATCGAAAGATTGATGTTGCCTGGTGGATGTCATGAAGATGTCGATTGTAACGGTGCCCATCGAATCCACCCACTCACATCAAGGCGGCCATGGGCGACCATGCCTTGCCCCACGCGGCACTTCAGGTTACGCAACTGCCTCAAATGGCCCCTTGTGAGGAACGGCGCTCATCCTACCCCCCATAAGGACTGGAGCCAGCCAAATCTACCCACCAGCACATTGACAACTCGATGGCCTGTCAATGCGAACTCAATAAGATTTGCGCTCACATCACCATCCCGAGCAGTTGTTGCGTTTCGCGTTGGTTCGTCGATCGAGGGTTATCAAGGATGGAGCTTGCCCAAACCCTTCCCATGATTATTGTATCGTTGGCTGTCATGGCGGACTTTGCTTGTGGGCGGGGGCGGATCCTATGAGAAGCTGTATTCGGGCGAATTACAAGCAAAGCAGAGCAGAGAAACAATGCCCCCCTGCCACCCCCGTACATGGGCGTGCTGGCCTAATGGCGAGATGCCGAAAGAACTCTGAAGGGGGGGTGCGCGGAAACACGCGCGAGAGATGTGTCATCCATCGCGTGTTTCTGCGCATCTAAAAAATTAGGAGGATGTCTCAGGCGAAACGCTGGTGTTCCAATCACTCGACGCGGACATCTCCACGCGTGCATTACAGTTCCTGGCATGGCCCACTGTGAGCGCGTGGTCGTCAACCTCTGGGTGCGAGAGCGAATCCCAGTGACCGACGAGTGCGACTAGTCCGACCAGCCATAACTGGGGGAGCTGTGGTCCTTACCCCCCTGGGGGAACCCATCGCATCGACGATCCCTCGAGCGAGGTGTCGAAATCGATGAGTCCCCCAGGGGGGTAAGGACCACAGCTCCCCCAGTTGTGGCTGGCCTGCTAGTGCGACGAGGACGACGACGACGACGACAACGGCGGCGGCTAAGATGAGGAACGGCGACGACGACAATTCACAGACAGACAGGCGGTGAACAAGCCCCCCCCCCCTTTCCTCCCTCTCCCGTACTATATCACCGTACCTCCCTCCCGTCTCTTCTTCCCGCCTCCCTCCTCCCTTCTCCTGCGCCCTCGTCCTCCCTCTCCCGGCACCCCTCCTCCGTCCTGTCGGCCAGCCTCCTCCCTACGTCGCGGTGCTCCTGGGGCTCTGCCTCGGCAGGACACAGAAAAATGCAGAGCCGAGCGACTCGCTCGATGCATCCCCACGCTCTGCCCGCCCAGGATTGCTGTGAAGCCGACGCCTCGCTCGAGACAGCCTCGCCTTCTGCTCTGACGGCACCGGCGTCCAGGCCACCGGACAGGCAGACTGCCTGAGACATGCCAACAATCTGAGCGCGAACGGCCGAACGTCCCAACCCTGGCAGCTCCTCCTCGGGGTGCTGAAGCCAGCGCCTCGCTGGCGGCATCCTCACAATCTGTCTACCGACGTCCAAGCCACCGAGCAGGCAAACCGCCTGAGACACCCCCGCAATCTGGGTGCGAACAGGCACATGTCCCCAGCCCTGGCGGTTCCCCTTTGGGGTGCCGAAACCAATGCCTGGCTGAAGACATCCTCACAATCTCTTTTGAATGCACCGACGTCCAAGCCACCAAGCGTGCAACCCGCCAGAGACATCCCTACAATCTGGGCGCGAACGGGCAAGTGTCCCCAACCCTGGCGGCTCCTCCAGTTTCGCATGCGGTTTCTACCCATTTCGGCACACCCGATACACCCCGCACATGTATCGTGACCCCATATGGAGCTCCACCGAAGACGATACTCACATCTGCAGCACTCACAACTGCAAACATGTGGGTCATTCGCCCTTCGCAAGGATATCATTTCTCGAGGCCCGGCGAGTGCCAAGCGGTCAAAGGCGGGTTGCACCTCGGGTTGCCCCTCCTGGAGCCACAACTGAGCGCGCTCGTCACGTGTGTGCCTCCGGCTTAGCGCCGAGCTCGCTCGCGCTCTCAGTTTCATAGCAGAGGACTGGCAACACCATCAGGCGAAGGAAGCAGCAGATGATGCAGAGCCCACAAGCCCATGCAATTGAAAAGACTCGAGGGTCCATGCTCCGTACGCTTCGCACATCCGTCTGGAGGGGTGGTAACGTACTCGTGGTCGTCTTCTCCCAGAAGCCCTCCGACAGGAAACCCTGCGCGCCCTAAGTGCTTCACGAACACGTTGAGATACGCCACGCCGCTGTGCGTATGCCCGCGAACCACCTTCAACTCGACATCATTGAAAGCAACCCACTCTGGAACCTCGGCCCGACTCAGCGACGCGCTGTAATGATACCCTCCGGCTTGCTTAACATTTGCCCAATACCCGGTCACGTTCAAGGCTTGGAAATAGATTTCCGCGCACTGCCTACCCAATCGGCGCGCATCGGCCTCCACGCGAAGCAGTACTTTTTCATCGCGCTCTCCACGAGGGATGTTTATCAGAATATGCAGCCCTGGCTTCATCAAATCAAACCGCTGGCCATACACATTCTGAAGGTGGGGGTCGCCAGTGGCAGCCACGCTTGAGCCAGCCCCAGCCGCCTGAGCACCTGAAGAAAGGAACGTCGGATGTGGTGTTGGCCAACCTGGAGGATACGTCGGGCTGGGCGTCGGGCTGAGCGTCGGGCTGAGCGTCGGGACGGGCGTCGGGTGGGGCGTCGGGAACGCCGTCGGGAACGCCGTTGGGTGGGGCGTCGGGAACGCAGTCGGATAGGGAGTCGGGAACGCCGTCGGGAACGCCGTCGGGTAAGTCGTCGGGAAAGGCGTCGGGTAGGGCGTCGGGTAAGGCGTCGGGAAGGGCTTCGGGAACGCCGTCGGGAACGCCGTTGGGAAAGGCGTCGGGTATGGCGTCGGATAAGGCGTCGGGAAGGGCGTCGGGAACGGCGTCGGGAACGCCGTTGGGAACGCCGTCGGGTAGGGCGTCGGATGCGGCGTCGGGAAGGGCGTCGGGTCGGGCGTTGGGAAGGGCGTCGGGAAAGGGGTGGGGTAGGCCGTTGGTGCAGGCGTCGGAGCTGGTGTCGCCGCCTGCTGGATAATGAGACGGTTGATTACTGAACACCCATTGGCCTAACTTCCACTAAATGTCAAGAGCCCATCGCTGACAGAAACGGCGAGAGTCTTACTTGCTCCTGGTCCGGCAGGAACACCCCCGAGACCTAGCGGCTGCCCTTCCAATCTGCAACCGTACGTGTCACTGTAGTATGCGGGATCCTGTATCACAACTTCAACCAAATATTCTCAATTAGACACCGCGATGTTCCATTGCTCGCCTGCACAATTCGAATTGCGGTCAGGAACCACCAATGTGTTCTGCAAATCATTATAACCACTCACTGCGCGATTCCTTCCTGATGTTGTGCGATACACCCCGCTAATCGTGTATGCCGCACTGTTGCCACAAAGCCATCCATAAGTGTACCCGTTACCCCGTGAACCGTACACGTCCCCGTAATCCGGAAGCCAGCCAGAAGGCACAGTCGTCGATTCAATTTGAAAATTGATGTTCTAAACGCTGGCGTTTGTACTGGCGTCGGTGCGGAAGTTGGGGCTGGCGTTTGGTACCGGTGCGTGGGCAGGCGTGTCCTTCGCGGAGCCTGCCCAGATAGACATCGCTGCGGGCACGGCGTAGACAAGTGCCAACAAGCGCAACAGGCTGGGCGCGCTCAGTACTGTCATCCTGCAGGACGAAGCGAGAATGTAAGGAAAGGTTAAAGAGACAAGCTCGCTTGCTTCGGCCAGACAGCCGTGAGCCTGGAATTGCTTCGGGATGCATATTGAGATCCTCTTGGAAGCCGCCTGAAGCCTGCTGGAACGCGGGTACCGGGTACCATCCAAGAACCGTTTGGGACACTCCGATACCCGGAACGGCGAATGTATGAAAGCCATACAATCATGCAAACACTGGGGGAGAACCAGCATGGCTTGCCTCTTGGAGGCCACTCGTGATATTTCCTGGCTCCCATGGTCTGTCTCGGGCAGCTCCTGGACCACGTTGAGGCCATCTGTGGGCCCTGCGGACCTCTTGGGGAGTACTGCAGCCGTGCTGAAGGCCCTCTTGGGCAATCTGAAGGCACACCTGGACCGTCTTGGAGCCTAGAGGCCCCCCAGGGAACAGCTTCGGGCCACCTTCGGTCGTATTCAGTTCTTCTTGGGGCAATCGCGGGGTTCTCTTGGGCCGTCTGGAGGCTATCTTGACAACTTCATGGGACATTCCAGATGCGGATCCGGGGTCGCTCTCCTTTCCCCTGGTCCACGCAGCAGCAGTGGCGGGCGCAACGATTGTCATCATCATCATCATCATCATCATCATCATCATCATCATCATCGTCGTCGTCATCATCATCATCATCATCATCATCATCATCATCATCATCATCATCATCATCATCATCATCATAATCATCATCATCATCATCATCATAATCGTCATCGTCATCATCATCGACATCATCATCATCCTCATCCTCATCCTTTTCCTCCTCATCCTCATCATCATCATCATCCTCATCATCATCATCCTCATCATCATCAACATCATCATGAATATCATCATCATCCGCAGCATCATCACCATCAAGACATCATCATATCCATCATCAACAACATCATCATCAAAAGCAACATCGGCATCAACATCGACATCAGCATCAGCATCAACATCAACATCAACGTCGTCTCCATCACCATCACCATGAGCATCAACGTTACCATCAACATCATCACCATCATGATCATCACCAGCAACAGCATCAACAACGACACCATCACCCCATCATCATCATCAGCAGCAGCAGCATCACCACCATCGCCATCATCATGCGCACTATCGTCATCAACATCAACATCCGCATCAGCATCATCATAAGCAACATCGTCGTCAGCGTCATCATCATCATCATAATCGTCATCGTGATATGCAACATCATCACCATCACAGCATGATTACAACCACCATCATCATCATCATCATCATCAGCAGCAGCATCAACATCAGCATCACCATCATGATCAGCATCATCATCAGCATCATCACCATCATCATCAACGTCGTCGTCGACGACGTCGACGTCGACGTCGTCGTCATCATCGCTGGCGCCATCATCAGTATCGCCATGGTCATCAGCAACCTAGCCATCGAAATCCGCGAACCCCTGCTGGCCAGGGGGTGAAAAGGCGTGTGAGATATTTAGTTCTCCACCTCCCCCTTTCCCCCTCGCCTGGGGTCCAAAATACGAGCTCGTCAACTCACCCCTGGAGCCCCCCCAAAGCCCCAAAACAGCCGAACATGGCCCAGACAGAGCGCCAATGATGGCCTTGGGTAGCCCTACGATGATCCAAGGAGGCTTCAGGATGGCCCACGAGGCACCCAAGACAACCCAAAAGCGCCTCCAGAGGATCGCCGAGAGGGCCTCAGAGGACAAAATCATCCCATTCCCCATGTTCAGCACATTCGCATTTTACGTTTTGACAGCGAACACGACGGCCCAAGTGCCCCCCAAGATCGTCCCAAGACGGCCCATGATGCCTCCAAGAAGGCCCCAAGACGGCCTAAGAAAGCGCAACTACAGCCCCAGGGGCCCCCCAACACGACCCAAGACAGCCCTTGGAGGGCCCCAAGAAGGCCACAAAAGAAAGCCCAAGAGTGGGAATACGAACTGACATCTCGAGCCTTTCCCACCGAGATGGCCCATCGAGCCCCCCGAGGCCCCCGAGGGCATCCCAAGAGGCCCCAAGAGGCCTTCAAGACGACCCTAAAAAGCCCCCTGAAGCCCCGACGAGGCCGTCAAAGAACCTCCCCACGTGCCCCCAACGCTTTCTCCAAAAGACCCCAAAGAGGCACCCCAAAAGGCCGTCAGATTCATCCAGGAGGCTACTGACCCAAAGTCTAGTTTCCACAATCGTTTCATTGGGGGGCCGCCGAAATGGCGTAAGTCACCCGAATCCACGTCCGGAACTGACGTGTTGCCGGCGGCAGGTCCGCAGATGCTGTAATGCAGCGTGTCCAATGTATCCAGTGATTGCACCATTTCAATGCATCCATTATTACAGATTTGGTCCAAAATGTATTGTGTACCCCATTGCGTCTCCCCCCCAACCCCACCCCATGGACCGCGCCACAACGCCGCACCGAATCTGGAGGCCCTCTTTGCGGAGCTCAGAACCGACCCAAACCTATGGAAAATCAATACACCTTCGGCTTCTTGGGCCTGTTGGGACTCCAGGGCCGCAAGATGACCAAAGGCGGCCTGTAATATGGCCCCAACACGGGCCAAAATGGCCCCGAGAGGGTCCATGAGGCACCTGGGACGGCGCAGGAATAGGGAAACGAACTCTACACACCAACGTTTTTCCCGACCCTGCGCTGCAGTTCCCAAAGGAACGCGGATTCAGGTACATACATGCTTCGTTGTTTTCCCGGGACATCGGGGAAACAAATATACACCACACCGCCCCGGCGTCGCCCCCGACCCTCCAAAAGTCCGGGGACTCAAGAAACACCCCGCCACTGGTAATGTATACGTTCCAGTTGCCGAAAAAAGGCCCCACGACGACCCCCAACAGCGCTTTCCGAAGCCACAATCATGGATTATCCATTGGTCGCCGAGCGATTTTGGCGTCCTCGCCTTTTGTCGGCTCTCCGACGGCCGCGACGGCCCAAAAGCAGCCTCCAAGAAAGCCCCAAGACGGCCCAAGAGGCCCCCTGGAAGCCCCAAGAGGCCCCGAAGGACATCTCAAGAGGCCCCAAGAGGGCCCCCCAAGAAACCTCAAGGAGGCCCCCAAATACCCCCCCCTCGAGAAACCACCGAGGGGCCCGCGCACCTGCGCACCACGCGCGCACTGCCAGGTGCGCGGAGGGAAAGCAACACATCCTGCCAGAAGGGAGGGGCGATGGCCCCGAAGCGGCCGTCCTCGTGCATCTTACCGAACATGACGGCCAACCTCGTGCTCACTTTCTTGATCCGCGGGTCGAGAGCGGACCTCGTCCGGTCGAAGCTAAGCGGGCCGCGCGAAGCTTGAATTAGGCGGAGAACAGGAGGGAAGCGGCGGAGCTTCAGAGCGAGGCCGAGAGGAGGAATAGCCTCGGATACAGGCGGTGCCGAAGCCGACGTTCTTGCAAAGGGACGCCGACCTCGCGCTCACACGCGGGGAATGCGCATCGCCCTCTTCGACGTTCGCCCCGCTCCCCCCCCGCGCTCCAACGGGCGGGCAGCCGCCTCCGCCCCCCCCCCCCCGGCGGCGCGGGGGAGCGCCCCGGGGCGGGCAGCGCGACGCGGCGGACCCGCGCGGCAGACGAGCGGGGCAGACCACCCGCCGCCCGGTTGTCGCGCGCCGCGGACGGCCGAAGGCGCCCCCCAGAAGGCCCCAAGAGGCCTCAGAGAACCCCCCCGGAGGCCGCCCACAGGCCCCCCGGCCGAAGGCGCCCCCCAGGAGGCCCCGGGAGGCCTCAAATGAGCCCCCGGGAGGCCGCCCAGAAGCCCTGGGGATGGCAGGACGGAGCGGCGCGCACGCGCGGGGGCCGAGCAGGTCACACCAACCAACGCCCACACCATCCACATTGCAACACTTTTCCACAGCTGCGATGATCAGTCCGGATCGGCTGCGCGGCGCCTACTCTACCCACCAGCAAGCGGGGCACAACTGGAGCCACAACTGAGCGCGACGAGGAGGTTGCGAACATAGTGTCATCGTCACGTGTGTGCCTCCGGCTTAGCGCCGAGCTCGCTCGCGCTCTCAGTTTCATAGCAGAGGACTGGCAACACCATCAAGCGAAGGAAGCAGCAGATGATGCAGAGCCCACAAGCCCATGCAATTGAAAAGACTCGAGGAGCTCCGTACGCTTCGCACATCCGTCTGGAGGGGTGGTAACGTACTCGTGGTCGTCTTCTCCCAGAAGCCCTCCGACAGGAAACCCTGCGCGCCCTAAGTGCTTCACGAACACGTTGAGATACGCCAAGCCGCTGTGCGTATGCCCGCGAACCACCTTCAACTCGACATCATTGAAAGCAACCCACTCTGGAACCTCGGCCCGACTCAGCGACGCGCTGTAATGATACCCTCCGGCTTGCTTAACATTTGCCCAATACCCGGTCACGTTCAAGGCTTGGAAATAGATTTCCGCACACTGCCTACCCAATCGGCGCGCATCGGCCTCCACGCGAAGCAATACTTTTTCATCGCGCTCTCCACGAGGGATGTTTATCAGAATATGCAGCCCTGGCTTCATCAAATCAAACCGCTCGCCATACACATTCTGAAGGTGGGGGTCGCCAGTGGCAGCCACGCTTGAGCCAGCCCCAGCCGCCTGAGCACCTGAAGAAAGGAACGTCGGATGTGGTGTTGGCCAACCTGGAGGATACGTCGGGCTGGGCGTCGGGCTGAGCGTCGGGCTGGGCGTCGGGACGGGCGTCGGGTGGGGCGTCGGGAACGCCGTCGGGAATGCCGTCGGGAACGCCGTTGGGTGGGGCGTCGGGAACGCAGTCGGATAGGGAGTCGGGAACGCCGTCGGGAACGCCGTCGGGTAAGTCGTCGGGAAGGGCGTCGGGTAGGGCGTCGGGTAAGGCGTCGGGAAGGGCGTCGGGAACGCCGTCGGGAACGCCGTTGGGAAAGGCGTCGGGTATGGCGTCGGATAAGGCGTCGGGAAGGGCGTCGGGAACGGCGTCGGGAACGCCGTTGGGAACGCCGTCGGGTAGGGCGTCGGATGCGGCGTCGGGAAGGGCGTCGGGTCGGGCGTTGGGAAGGGCGTCGGGAAAGGGGTGGGGTAGGCCGTTGGTGCAGGCGTCGGAGCTGGTGTCGCCGCCTGCTGGATAATGAGACGGTTGATTACTGAACACCCATTGGCCCAACTTCCACTAAATGTCAAGAGCCCATCGCTGACAGAAACGGCGAGAGTCTTGCTTGCTCCTGCTCCGGCAGGAACACCCCCGAGACCTAGCGGCTGCCCTTCCAATCTGCAACCGTACGTGTCACTGTAGTATGCGGGATCCTGTATCACAACTTCAACCAAATAGTCTCCATTAGACCGCGATGTTCCATTGCTCGCCTGCACAATTCGAATTGCGGTCAGGAACCACCAATGTGCTCTGCAAATCATTATAACCACTCACTGCGCGATTCCTTCCTGATGTTGTGCGATACACCCCGCTAATCGTGTATGCCGCACTGTTGCCACAAAGCCATCCATAAGTGTACCCGTTACCCCGTGAACCATACACGTCCCCGTAATCCGGAAGCCAGCCAGAAGGCACAGTCGTCGATTCAATTTGAAAATTGATGTTCAAAACGCTGGCGTTTGTACTGGCGTCGGTGCGGAAGTTGGGGCTGGCGTTTGGTACCGGTGCGTGGGCAGGCGTGTCCTTCGCGGAGCCTGCCCAGATAGACATCGCTGCGGGCACGGCGTAGACAAGTGCCAACAAGCGCAACACGCTGGGCGCGCTCAGTACTGTCATCCTGCAGGACGAAGCGAGAATGTAAAGAAAGGTTACAGAGACAAGCTCGCTTGCTTCGGCCAGACAGCCGTGAGCCTGGAATTGCTTCGGGATGCATATTGAGATCCTCTTGGAAGCCGCCTGAAGCCTGCTGGAACGCGGGTACCATCCAAGAACCGTTTGGGACACTCCGATACCCGGAACGGCGAATGTATGAAAGCCATACAATCATGCAAACACTGGGGGAGAACCAGCATGGCTTGCCTCTTGGAGGCCTCTCGTGATATTTCCTGGCTCCCATGGTCTGTCTCGGGCAGCTCCTGGACCACGTTGAGCCCATCTGTGGGCCCTGCGGACCTCTTGGGGAGTACTGCAGCCGTGTTGAAGGCCCTCTTGGGCAATCTGAAGGCACACCTGGACCGTCTTGGAGCCTAAAGGCCCCCCAGGGAACAGCTTCGGGCCACCTTCGGTCGTATTCAGTTCTTCTTTGGGCAATCGCGGGGTTCTCTTGGGCCGTCTGGAGGCTATCTTGACAACTTCATGGGACATTCCAGATGCGGATCCGGGGTCGCTCTCCTTTCCCCTGGTCCACGCAGCAGCAGTGGCGGGCGCAACGATTGTCACCATCATCATCATCATCATCATCATCATCATCATCATCATCATCAGCATCATCATCATCATCATCATCATCATCATCAACATCAACATCAACATCAGCATCACCATCATGATCAACATCATCATCAGCATCATCACCATCATCATCAACGTCGTCGTCGTCGACGACGTCGACGTCGACGTCGTCGTCATCATCGCTGGCGCCATCATGAGTATGGGCATGGTCATCAGCATCCTAGCCATCGAAATCCGCGAACCCCTGCTGGCCAGGGGGTGAAAAGGCGTGTGAGATATTTAGTTCTCCACCTCCCCCTTTCCCCCTCGCCTGGGGTCCAAAATACGAGCTCGTCAACTCACCCCTAGAGCCCCCCCAAAGCCCCAAAACAGCCGAACATGGCCCAGACAGAGAGCCAAGATAGTCGAAGAGAGCGTCATGATGGCCTTGTGTAGCCCTACGATGATCCAAGGAGGCTTCAAGATGGCCCACGAGGCACCCAATGGCAACCCAAAAGCGCCTCCAGAGGATCGCCGAGAGGGCCTCAGAGGACAAAATCATCCCATTCCCCATGTTCAGCACATTCGCATTTTACGTTTTGACAGCGAACACGACGGCCCAAGTGCCCCCCAAGATCGTCCCAAGACGGCCCATGATACCTCCAAGAAGGCCCCAAGACGGCCTAAGAAAGCGCAACTACAGCCCCAGGGGCCCCCCAACACGACCCAAGACAGCCCTTGGAGGGCCCCAAGAAGGCCACAAAAGAAAGCCCAAGAGTGGGAATACGAACTGACATCTCGAGCCTTTCCCACCGAGATGGCCCATCGAGCCCCCCGAGGCCCCCGAGGGCATCCCAAGAGGCCCCAAGAGGCCTTCAAGACGACCCTAAAAAGCCCCCTGAAGCCCCGACGAGGCCGTCAAAGAACCTCCCCACGTGCCCCCAACGCTTTCTCCAAAAGACCCCAAAGAGGCACCCCAAAAGGCCGTCAGATTCATCCAGGAGGCTACTGACCCAAAGTCTAGTTTCCACAATCGTTTCATTGGGGGGCCGCCGAAATGGCGTAAGTCACCCGAATCCACGTCCGGAACTGACGTGTTGCCGGCGGCAGGTCCGCAGATGCTGTAATGCAACGTGTCCAATGTATCAAGTGATTGCACCATTTCAATGCATCCATTATTCCAGATTTGGTCCAAAATGTATTGTGTACCCCATTGCGTCTCCCCCCCAACCCCACCCCATGGACCGCGCCACAACGCCGCACCGAATCTGGAGGCCCTCTTTGCGGAGCTCAGAACCGACCCAAACCTATGGAAAATCAATACACCTTCGGCTTCTTGGGCCTGTTGGGACTCCAAGGGCCGCTAAGGCCTCGATGGAGCTAGTTTGGCGGTCTGTATTTAATATGGCCCCGAAACACGGCGCAAAATGCCCCGCGAGGGAGAGGGTGCTACATGAACGGCACTGGGATCGGCGCAAGGAATAGGAAACAGAACTCTGTACCACACGCACACAAACGTTGTTACCGAACCTCTGCGCTGCAGTTCCCGCTCAAGAGGAACGCGATTCAGTGCATATCTGCTTCGTTGTGTTCCCGGGACATCGGGGAAACAAATATACACCACACCGCCCCGGCGTCGCCCCCGACCCTCCAAAAGTCCGGGGACTCAAGAAACACCCCGCCACTGGTAATGTATACGTTCCAGTTGCCGAAAAAAGGCCCCACGACGACCCCCAACAGCGCTTTCCGAAGCCACAATCATGGATTATCCATTGGTCGCCGAGCGATTTTGGCGTCCTCGCCTTTTGTCGGCTCTCCGACGGCCGCGACGGCCCAAAAGCAGCCTCCAAGAAAGCCCCAAGACGGCCCAAGAGGCCCCCTGGAAGCCCCAAGAGGCCCCGAAGGACATCTCAAGAGGCCCCAAGAGGGCCCCCCAAGAAACCTCAAGGAGGCCCCCAAATACCCCCCCCTCGAGAAACCACCGAGGGGCCCGCGCACCTGCGCACCACGCGCGCACTGCCAGGTGCGCGGAGGGAAAGCAACACATCCTGCCAGAAGGGGGGGGCGATGGCCCCGAAGCGGCCGTCCTCGTGCATCTTACCGAACATGACGGCCAACCTCGTGCTCACTTCCCTGATCCGCCGGTCGAGAGCGGACCTCGTCCGGTCGAAGCTAAGCGGGCCGCGCGAAGCTTGAATTAGGCGGAGAACAGGAGGGAAGCGGCGGAGCTTCAGAGCGAGGCCGAGAGGAGGAATAGCCTCGGATACAGGCGGTGCCGAAGCCGACGTTCTTGCAAAGGGACGCCGACCTCGCGCTCACACGCGGGGAATGCGCATCGCCCTCTTCGACGTTCGCCCCGCTCCCCCCCCGCGCTCCAACGGGCGGGCAGCCGCCTCCGCCCCCCCCCCCCCGGCGGCGCGGGGGAGCCCCCCGGGGCGGGCAGCGCGACGCGGCGGACCCGCGCGGCAGACGAGCGGGGCAGACCACCCGCCGCCCGGTTGTCGCGCGCCGCGGACGGCCGAAGGCGCCCCCCAGAAGGCCCCAAGAGGCCTCAG